ACAATCCTCTTCATGTATCTCGCCTTTTTGAAGTGCTATGCCGCAAATTTGCTAAAATCTAGCCTTAGCATCTTTCGGACTAAGGCAAACTCCGCCCACAATTATGCCTATCATGCTAATTTGGTATGGGAATAGGTTCGAAAATAATATTAAATTAGGAGAGAGCATAATCAAGAATTTCAGTGCTAGACTGGCTCCTAACCATGCTTTACAAGATATGTATGTAATATAAGCAATTGTTTATATTTACGGGTCTTTACAGGCACTAAGCTAGGCACTAAATCGAACCGCACTAGAACTTGGTCTTATTTGAATGGTATTTTAATAAATTTAATCAAATATCCTTTTCTCCCTTTAACATAAACTCAGATAAGTATTGCCCTAATCAAACCCCAATAAAATTATCAAAACTGCACTTCCCACTTATTTGCTCCCCTATCTTACTGTCGAGGGATGAAATCACAGGAAACCTAAGAAACTCAGCTTGACAAAACAAATTATTAACCATGGAAACGCACTAATTAATAAAGTGGATGGTTTTGGAGCTTTTAGTACCGTCGAAATTATGCTCTGTGAGTATGATGTTTGTAGAAAAGAGGAATGCAGAACGACATCGCGTTTGGCGGTCATTTAATGAACCCGGCTTATTCCGCTAAAGGATAACTTCAACAGAAGTCGAACTTATTTAAGAAGCGTAAATTTGTGCCAGAGAAGCAAACGGATTTAAATTATTTTAAGTTAGTAAACGCATTTTTAAATGTACTTTAATTAAATTTTATTAAAATATACTTTTAGAGCAAAAGTACATCCATGTAAACTACAAATACATTCTTGGAGGGAATGAGGAACCTGGGGAGAAATAGCGTGGCCCTGTCTTAATATAATGTTTGCTCAACAGGCAAATTTTTCGTCTTGGACCACGCAATTTATCATTGGTTCCCATCAGCCATGGGCGAATCCAGGCCTTCGGCTGCATTCAGCATACAATTTTTTGTCGATTTAGCTGACATTAAGCTTTACAGCCATGGTTAGGAGTCTGAGAGAGGGGATTAAAGGATAAATCATTAAATAATTGGTGTATTCTTGCAAAAATAAGGCAATGGTTGCGTTTGAGTCCTGTTGGAGTTTAATCCAAGACGAACAAGTAAGTCTGCATGGTTTTACAATAAAAATCAAGCAACAGCAGGAAGCCTCTTGGGACATAATATACTTTCATTAAACTATTCCCCTTTGCTAGTCACACAAGGACATTGCAGTGGATTCTGATGCACAATAACTGCTTTTTTCACTCACTCAGGCTGTTGATTGGCTAGTTTGAAAGCCATTTAAGAATTTTTGCGATGAAGAATAAAGCGTTTTCACCAATGTGCTGCGCTCACACTGCATTATTTATACAAAGACAACATTCTACTTCTGCATACTGCACATCTTGTACCTCACCTTCTCAAAATCCCTTACTACATATTTGATGAGAAAACTGCTTCTCTAGCTTGGAAACCAGGTTCAACCCTGTTTCTACAGCAGGCAGGCTTCATAAACATCCACCAGGTTCACCCAAAATTTTACTAAATGAAGGAGAATTCAAGATAAGTACCGATAGTAGACTAGTGTAATACGATAGTGGTTTGTCCCTCGGTTCTGGTGAGGCGCCACTTTTGTGCTTCGAATTAGCCCCCTTGTACCTCACTGGGTGGGCTGGCCTTTTGGGCCATGCCAATAGCCCAGACACCTTCTCCGTGCTGAATATATATTCTGCCCGAGTATTGTGTCTTCCTTCGTCTTCAGGGAGTCCCGGGACGCTACAAA